ACGTGGTGTTGAAGAAGATGGAGCTCTGCAGCTCGATTGTGGTTGGGGTGGGCCCGTGCTTACGCGAACAAACTTCTGATAGGTGACTGTATGTACATAATCTCTCTCGTCCCATCCATCGATGTATCCAGACTCATGCTCCATACATGGTAGCCGTGAAGGATATTATTTTTTTTCCATCGATGGAGACCAGATAAGCTCCATCCTGAGACGGTTTCCCACTTATTAAATTAATCTTCTTCGTTAGCAATGCTCCATGCGATTCAAGGAAACAGTCCAATAGCTGACTGGCTGATTATGCGATAGGTTCATGAGTGAAACGGTGTCGGATGTGGCCCCTTCATCCTAGCCATCACCAACACTCCGACCACCCGCTTCCGTCAACAGCTCCAAATCGTTCCTCCTTTCCGATGGTTTCTTGCGCTAAGACTCTTTCTGTCCTCGACAGAGTTTGCCTTCCGAAGAAGCGCCCTGAGATTGCCCGCTGAGCGAGGACAACAATACCACGATGACTTGATCGCGTTCCATTCCAGCTCCTTTCATATCTACTATTCATGTCCTCTTGGCTACTCTGGTATTGTCGATTGTAATTCAGCCCGGCCCTCGCAACGAGCATGTCGAACAACAAAGCGGGCGCATGCTCGAACGCATGCTATCTGTGCGACTTGGTGTTTTTTCACGGCGGCCCACAGGCAATTTCCAGCGGACTCGGCCTTTGTCTCGGCACCTGTTTCGAAACAGCTAGACTCCACCCCGACGACGTCAGAAAAATGCCAAACGGGGCGTTGAAACAAGTAAGCCAGCAAATCGCATTGCCTCGATTGCTGTATCGTGCACTGGCCCTGGTTGCACTTGTATGCTGTGCAATTAACCTCCCACATTGGTGGAAGCGCCAGGAACCATCTTGACATACATAGCGCCGCCCGTGAACCATGATCCTGGACCACCGAAGTCCAGAATACTGTTTTGCATGATCGCAGGGCTGTAATCCGAGCTTGCTTGGTGGGGCACATGTCGGGAGTGGCTTTCTCTCGTGGACATGGCAGATTGAGTATGACTTGGCACGCATTGCAAACGGCCTACATATAGAGAAGCATGCCGCGACATCCATGTTCGCTACACGCGCTGTCTCGCTCTACCATTCTTTCACTCTTCCTTTTTTGCTCGTTCCTTTGAACGTTGCTTTCCACTCATTGCACATAGCCTTGACGGCTTCACACTTTCTTGTCGGCAGAGCCACACACACACAACTCACACTCTCTTTCATATTCCGCTCACAATTACCAAAATGGCTCGTTCGTTCTTTCTTACCTCGGCCCTCTTCGCGCTACGCGCTGTGGCTCAGACCTCTACGGCCTTCACGGATGAAAAGACTGGCATCAAGTTCCAGGGTGTTGTTGGCGACTCAGGATACAGACTTGGTTATGCCATCCCTGAGACTCCTACAACCGACTTCATTGCTCAGATCCAAGCACCCATCACCAATGGAGGTGGATGGGCTGGTCTCAGCATGGGTCAGTCCATGACAAGCAACCTACTCATTGTTGCTTGGCCCAACGAGGGCAAGGTTCTCTCGTCTTTCCGTCAAGTTGATGGTTACACCAGCCCGCCTGTGGTTACTGGTAACTTCTCGATGAAGACAATTCCCGATGGCACATTCGTCACCGACAAGGCCTTCTCATACACATTCCTGTGCTCCAACTGCCTGAGCGACGACTCGTCTCTCGGCCTCGTCATCTCCGAAACTCTCAACATCATGGGCTGGGCCTGGTCAGACAAGGCCTTGACCGATTCGACCACGGCTTCTGCTGGCCTCAACTACCACGACGCCGGCTTTGGCGCTTTTGGTCTGAAGATGTCTGACGCAAAGAGTGCTGATTTCGCTAAATGGGCTGCGCTTGCTGTTGGAGATGCTCCAAGTGGAGGTGCTCCGAGCGGCGGAAACTCCACGGCCCCTGCAGTACCTACAACTCCAATCTCCGGCAACACTACTGCTATTGTTGCAAATGAGACCTTCGACTACATCGTTGCAGGAGGTGGTGCAGCTGGAATCATCGCCGCTCAGAGGTTTGCAGAAAGTGGTGCTTCGGTCCTCTTGATCGAGCGTGGTGGTCCTTCATATGCCTTCACTGGCGATGTCAAGACGCTTTCTTGGAACAGCTCTGTCTCTATGTATGATGTGCCCGCATACGGCTACTACCTCAGCGATGTCGGTAGCCCTGCTTACTGTACCGATACTGCCGACATGGCAGGCTGTCTTCTTGGTGGTGGCACTGCTGTCAACGCCATGATGTACGTCAGGCCCCAGGAGCGCGACTTCGACGACAAGTGGCCTACTGGCTGGAAGTGGGCCGATGTCTCCGCTGCCGCAGACCGCCTGTACGAGCGTAACCCTGGACAGACCTACGGTTCCCAGGATGGTGTCCGCTACGACGACGGTGCTTTCACTGTTCTGTCCAAGTTCTTTGCTAGCCAGGGATGGAAGGAGACCGACTTCATCAAGAACCCCAACAACAAGGTCGATGTCTATGGCCACCCACCCTGGAACATTGCCAATGGTATGCGCTCCGGTAGTGTCCGAACTTACCTCCCTCTTGCCCAAAAGCTTGACAACTTCAAGCTCATGATGAACACCAACGTTGTTCGAGCTGTCCGCGAGGGTTCTGCTGTTTCTGGTGTCGAGGTTGAGTCTGCCGATGGCAAGCGCGTCATCTACAACGTCAAGGCTGGAGGCCGTGTCGTCCTTTCGGCCGGTGCCATGTCGACTCCTCGTATCCTTTTCAACTCTGGCATTGGCCCTGCTGCTCAACTCAAGACTGTTGCTACCGGCACCACCGGCGTCAAGCTGCCTGCCGAGGCTGACTGGATTGACCTCCCTGTCGGAGCAGAGATCAAGGACCACCCGATCTTCACCGTCCAGTTCAAGACCAGCTCTCCTCTTACTGCCACTGACAAGAAGGCCCTCATCTCTCCCAACCAGACCACCATTGACCTCTTCGCGAAGGGCTCCGGCATGCTTGCCGAGTCTGGTCAGCGCCTCAACTGGTGGTCCTCTGTCAAGACATCCGATGGTAGTGAAGTCTTCTTCCAAGGTACTTGCAACTCGCCCGAGGACGACACTATCCAGATGAAGGTCTACATCACCCACGGCCTGAAGTCTGTCGGTAGCCTCGGAATCAACGCCGCCGGCGCAACCACCTTCATCACCAACCCCCACATGACCTCCAAGGTCGACACTGAAGCCATTACCCTCATGATGGACCGTCTCATCAACATGTCCAAGGGCTCCAACTCGACCTTGTCCCTCATTGCCCCTACCGGCGTCACCAACGTCACCAGCGCCGACCTCATCAAGTCCTTCAAGTCAGGAAGCCACTACGTCGGTACCGCTAAGATCGGCACCAAGGGCGAGCCCGGTGTCGTCGTCGACACCAACACAAAAGTCTACGGAACCGACAACCTCTTCGTCGTCGACGCCTCCATCCACCCCGATCTCCCCACCGGAAACACTCAAGCCATCATCATGGTCGCCGCCGAGGCCGCCGCTGCCCGCATCATGAAGCTCAGCGGCACCCCCAGCACCCCCGTAACCCCAGGATCCAGCAACAGCACCACCCCCGTACCTGAGACCCCGGCTACCTCTGTCGTTCCCTCAGCAGTCCCTACCTCTGCGCCCGTTGAGCTCCCAGAAGCAACCCCGTCTTTCGCACCCAGCGCCCCCGCTGCTTCAGCACCAGCTGCATCCGCCCCCGCCGCAACACCCGCGCCTTCCAAGCCCGCCGAGGCCCCTAAGCCCTCCAGCCCAGCAGCTGGCGCCCCCGGCGCTACAGCAGGAAAGTGGGAGCGCTGTGGTGGCATCGGACACACGGGTCCCACCACCTGCGCTGACGGCTGGAAGTGCGTCAAGCAGAATGATTACTACTCACAATGTCTTTCCGGTTAAAAAAACACAAAGAATCAGGAAAGAAAACTTTGTATGAGTGAGTTGAGCGGAAGAAAGTACAAATAAAAAGTATTCATGTACATAACCCCCTTTTTTTTCTACTTTTGTTACTATTTGGCTGCGCCTTTTATGTATATTATTTAGCACAGTACATATCAAAGAAAAATGTCTGTGTTTTTTTGTGACTCGATTTGGAGCTTTGTACTGATGAATCTTGTGATGATGGGGGGTTGAGTGATTTTGCTGGCTGTTCTCCTACTCCAACGATGAGTAAGAAAAAGGGGGTGTACTCTAGTTGATTGTCAAACGGCCTTTGCTCGGATAAATATCAAGTCGGGAACAAGGAATAATAGGGGTATATCCATCGCGCGGCCATCGAAGGGAGGTGTATACCTAGCAATGTAGGAACATCGTTAGCTAAAAAGGGCCACTTGCTCGCTGCCCACTTCTACTGAGTAAATTAACTTTCAGCAACAAGACACGCTATGCAAGCATAGAATTATTCCTTGTTTGGATACACAAACGAATTAGAAATTGTCAAACAACGTGACACAAGTGTATTGGGTATGATAAGAGCCATATGGCAAAAGAACAAAAAAACTAAACGGCATACGAGCCACGGAAAAGGGTGAAAAAAAATTACAAGTAGTTTATAGTTGTGTAGAGACGCATTCCATGTCGTATCCCTCGTGCAGTTGATCGCAATCATGTCTCGGCTCCTAGGCCCTTAGTCCATCAAGTCCATTAGGAAGTGGGTGGGGTGGGGAAGCTCGTCTGGGCCGGTATGCTCCGTAGTAAGCAGTTGGGCTGTCCTGGTGCTTTCTGCAATCGCGTCATTATTGAGTTCAGCGAGCTGGCTTAACGTCTCTTGCATGGCCGCCAACTGCTAGAAATGTATTAGCTCTCTGGACTCTGTGCGCGGCAAGAAAGCAGATAATCCACGTACGGGGATTTGGGTTCAACTCACAGTACCGACAACATCTCTTGCAGGACCAGTGCCGTTGGTTGTGTGGCGCTGAGTACCAGACATAGCGCCTCTGCCGTTGTCTTCCTCCTCTTCCTCTTCTGCCAAAGTGATCATGTCCCGCTGCTCACCCAAGCTGGCAGCAGCACGAGCAATCCTGTCGCCGGCAGCAAGCATTGCTTCGAGGCGGTCAATCTTATCGAGGAGTTGTAAGTTCTCTTTCTCCAGTGGTTCGACACGGGCCAGGTGCTTGCGCACGACTTCACCCTTCATGGTTTCAATGCGGTCTTCGGCTTCCTCAGCAGCCCTGATGGCTTCATCGCGCTCACGTTCGATTGCGCGGATCTTTTCTCCAAGGGCTAACATGTTGGAGCTTTCGGCAGCAGCATCAGCCTTGAGCTTCTCCTGAAGCTGAGAGTCCCAGTACATGTCTCGTTGTTGGGTTGCTTCCTTTTTGGCGGCTTCAAGTGCAGCAGAGTGATTGAAATGTGCTTCTTCCAACTCCAACGAAAGGTCATCATATTTCTTGCGGAGTTCTCGTAGAGCTTCTGACGTGCTAGCCTCCATGCCCGCCATCAACTCAGCAATGGCCTCCTCGTGAGCCTGGTCCATTGACGTCTTTTGCTCGTTAAGATCTTGATGCTGTTTCTGCACAGCCTCGAGCTGATTCCGCAGAGCCTGCATGTCGTTCGAGTGTCCGGCTTTAAATTCCTTTTTCAACAACTCCATCGCATCACTGTGCGCTTGGTCCGTCTCTGCAATCTTTTGCTGCAACTTATCGCACTCCAACTGCAACTTGGATAGAGCCTGCTCGTAATCTGCCTTCAGAGAATCTTTGAGTAAGGCAACAGCATCCTCATGTTCTTTGTCGGCAGCGGTCTTCTCGGCCAGTAGAGCTTCGTACTTGCTTGCAATTTCAGCGTTTGACGACGAACCAGACTGCTCCTTCATGGATGCGAGCTCATTAAGCGCAGCTTGTTTGCCTGCAAGTGCTGCTGCCCTTTCTTGTTCCAATCGCTCGGTGTCGTTTTGCATAATCTCTAGTAAGGCTGCGTATTTCTGCTCGATTTCTACATGCTGAGCCTCAAGCGCCTTGGCATGACTTTCCTCGGCTGCCAGCTGTTTAGCAAGGCTCTCTGCATGAGACTTCTCAAGTTCCGCAAGCCGTGCAGATAGATCATCCCGTTGGCTCTGGAGGTTCTGGATTTCTGCCTTTTGGGCTTCATCATCGCTACCTCGCTCTTGGGTGACAACATCGTATCTCGTCTGGAGATTACTCAAAACCTCCGAAGTGGTCTTCAAGTCTACCTGGAGCTTATCATACTTGGCTTGCAGCTCATCAAGGAGCTGTTTCGACGTAGTATCGGCCTCTTCTTTGAGTGTTGCGATAGTGCGATTGTGTTCAAGATCGGCGGCAGCCTTCTCTTGCGCCAGTGTGTCATACTTGGATTGAAGCTCCGCCAGGGCTGACTTAGTAGATTGCTCTGAATCGGCTTCCAAAGCCCGTAGCGTCTGCAAGTGGGTGTTTTCCATGGTACTCTTCTCTTCAAGCAGCGAGTCGTATTTGGCCTGAAGGTCGTTCAGTAGTTGCTTAGATGCGCTTTCTGACTGTGATTTAGAGGCCTCCAGAGCATCTTTGTGCGCAGTTTCCATTGCACCCTTCTCCTCCACCAGCAGATTGTACTTGGATTCGAGTTCCTCAAGGGAGTGCCTCAACTTAGTTTCGGATTCTTGCTTCAGAGTTTCAACGGCAGAGCGATGTCCATCTTCCGCTGATTTCTTCTCTTGAATGAGAGTGTCATACTTTGATTGCAGCTCTGCAAGCAACTGCTTTGACTCGCTTTCAGAGTCTTGCTTAAGGGATTCGATGGCACGAGCATGAGAATCCTCCGCGAGCGTCTTCTCTTCCAACAAGGAGTCGTGGCGGGCTTGCAGGTCAACAATGATAGACTGAGACTTGGCGTGAGCATCTGCCGTAGCATCTTTCTCTTCTTGTAACGCGTCCAGTTTGGCCTGCAGATCTCCGCTGGTGGCAAGGTCCTTGCTCATGGTATCAACGCGTGCTTGGAGATCCACGACCAATCCCTGCGAGATGCTGTGGGCTTCTTTCAAAGCGGCCAGTTCGTCTTCGGTGTGCTTGAGCTTCGCGAGAGCGTCATCGCAGTTGCGGGTTGCAGAGGCAGAACTGTCTCGAAGGTCATTGATTTCCTGCTTGAGAGCCTCAATTTCTTGAGATCGCTCCGAAAGTGCTTTCTCATGTTGCTCGGAGTTTCCATTCTTCTCAGCGACAAGGGAATCGAAGTCGGCCTGCAAAGTGTTCAATCGCCTTGTTGCATCCCCTTCAAGATCCGCTCTCAGGGATTCGATTTCGCGCTCGTAATCTTCGCCAATGACACGCAAGTCTTGTTTGTGTCTCTCATGTAGCGCATCAAGCTCAGACTTGTAACCATCAGCTTTCTTGTTCGCTTCGTCCAAGTTAGTCTGCATTTTTGCAATCTCGGAAGCATGTTGCGAGTCCAGCTGCTGCGAAGCCGTCTCGAGTGTATCAATGGTACTTCGCAAGCCAGCGGCCTCCGCTTTGAGTTGCTCCATTTCGGCAGTCTGGGCGGTGAGTTGATTATTCAAAGCATCTATCTTCTGGGCAAGTTCGTCATTTTCTTCCGTCTTGATCTTGATAGCGGCATCATGCGCATTTTTCAGCTCCTCGATTTCCTTGTTAAGCTTCTCGGCAATCTGAGCACCGTCAGTCGACCCTTGTTGAAGCGCCACAATCTGCTCCTGAAGATCCTCAATAGACTTGACATGTCCTGATAGCTCTTCTTCCTTTGCTCGCAGCTGATCGGCCGTAGTCTTCTGAAGCTCGTCAATCTTGGCTTGCAGCTGTTCAGCGTATTCGTTACGCTCGCTCTCGAGATCTGCGGAGGTCTGATCTGCACGCTGTTGTAGCTTGGTAAGGTCGTCCTGGAGTTGCTTCTGGGTTTCAGTGTGTGTGGCGATTATCTGCTCCTTTGCATGCAATTCATCAGTGTGTTGCTGGTGGATGGTTTGGAGCTCAGTCTGCAGTTGCTCGACGAGTGCCAAATGCTCGGAGGCCTTGGACTCGAGGGATTGTTGTGCTTCTTGCAAAGCTTCCTTGTGCTGTTCCTCTCTACTTGTCACCTGGGCCATGTATTCATCGACGGTCTTGGTAAGCTCGATGATCTTAGCATCACGCGAACGAAGGTTATCCGCCTGGCTTTGCTCAAGCTCGGCAAACTTGGTTTCCAGATTTTCCAACGTCTTCTTGGCAATGTCAAGTTCCTGCGAGAGCTTGTCGCGTTCATCCTTCAACGTCGCTACTTCCTGTGTAAGCTCTTCGATCTGGGTCGCTTGCTCGACTAGTTTCTTCTTTTCGTCGTCCCATTGGCGGCCCTGCTGCTCGAGCTCAGCATTCAAGTCGTCTAGCACCTGCTGTAGTTCGAGTGCCTTGGCAGCTTCGGCGGCCTCCCTCTCCTGGGCTGCCTTCTTCTCCACCTCAAGCTGCTGGCTCTGCTCTTCGAGCTGCTTGGTCTCTATCGCAAACTTCTTCTCCATGTCTTGGACCAGGGTCTCGTGGGCGCTTTGCTCAGAAGATGATGTAGCATTGGAGCCGTTTGCAATGAGCCTGTCCTTCTCGGTGATGGCTGCCTGTGCTTCGGCCAGCTGGCTTCGTAGTTTGGTCTTTTCTAGTTGTAGATTGTCCACCTCACGGCTGAGGTCGTCGCACTGTTCCTGCAGCTTGTCGCGAAGGCTGGTTTCCTTGAAGAAGTCCTGCATGATCTGGGCGCTCCGCCTTTTCATCTCCACATCCATCTCGGCAGAGCCCGTCGGCGCGGTATCCGGTCGGGGTGAACTCTCGCCGAATTTCGCCAGGGCGGCTTTGACGGGTCCAAGGGCAGATTTGCGCACCTCGGCTTCTGCATCGGAGGCGGCATTGCGGCTAAGGGTGGAGGCAACGAGGCTTTCTCTACGTAAAGGAGTTAGCATGCGGTATACGGGGGCATGGCAGGGAGAGGTTTGTACGTTTCTTCTGCTGTGTCCTCGGGTTCAGAGGCTGCTGGCGGGGGAGGGGCAAAGGCAGGGACTGATAGCTTCTTGGCCTGTCCTGCAAGCGCCTTTGGGCCAGTAGCTGTCGTGCGCGCAGCGGCGGCAGCAGAAGCAGTGGTAGCAGCGGCAGTAGGGCGCGTGCTTGGTGGCCTAGCGGAGGGACCGAGGGAAGCACGAGGGGCGCGGGTTGTTGCTGCATCTGCAGCAGCGCGCGTTGTCGAGGGTCGCTTTGCGGTGGCTGTCGCAGTCGCAGCCGAAGACGAGAGCGAAGGCCTAGATGTTGGCTTTCCGGGGGATGGTCGAGCAGCTGCAGTAGACGCGACAGCCGGCTTGCGCACTGGTGGCTTCTTCTTGCTCTCCTCTCCCGATGTTACTGATGATAGATCTGGGTCTTGGTCCGAGGCAGTCTTGGACGACGAAATTGTTCTACGCGCAGCAGTACCGGGAGCTGGACGCGTAGGGGGCTTGCTGAGGCTGGATCCTCCTACAGCGCTGGCGCGGGTGGTGGAGGCTGTGGGGGGCTTGACAGCGCTCGTCGAGGTGCGCGTCGTGGTAGTTTGAGCTGGGGCTGCCGGCCGGCGAGCAGTAGCTGTAGTGGCAGTAGTAGTGCTGGAGACGGTGGGCCGACGAGGAGCGGCGCCATCTTTGGAGGCGGGCGAAGGGCCATGGGAAGCCATCTTGCGCCGGACTGACGACGTCGGGGTTGAAGGTGCGGGCAGCTTTTTTGGCTGCGGACTCCCGGCTGGCAGGCTTTCCGGCCCAGCGTTCTCCATGCGGCGCAGATGCGGCTCAGGAACCGGAACTGATCAGTGCGCGGTGCGGGCGACAGGCGTCAGACGGCCAGAGAGCAGAGCGGGTGGGTGAATGTTGTGGTGCCCAGAGGGTGGAGCGAGCGACGGTGTTGGTGAATGGATGGCAGCGTAGTGGACAGAAGAGCATGCAGCTCGACCAAATCTGTCGTCATGCTAGTCATAGTCATGGCCGTGCTGCAGACACACGGACAGCTACCTGACAGTTGGAGTGAACCAAACCACCCTCTCAGTCTCCTATTGACCATTCATAGGCCTACACGTCGCATGGCGTCGACTGCATGAACTTGTCGCACTTTGCATCGCGCCCAGTAGAATGCCCGACTTGTATCGTTATACGTACGCGGCCTGCAGATCCACCCCCGTGCCGTAGTCAGGAACAAGCTCCACCAAACCTGCCTTGATACTAGTCAATCTAACCTCAGCCTATCACTAGACTATCCGACTTGAAGTTGATTGTAAGTGCCCCTCCACTGACCATGGTGGCCTCGGGTACAAAGGACCCGTCCCCTGGTCTTAACATACTACTTACTGATAACCTACTAAGGACCTGAAGAGGGGTATACTGTAGCTCTTATCATTCTTTGTTACATCTTCAAGCGACAACCCCGTGAATGCTCAGATCCCTCAAAAACACATTCACCGTTGATCGGTCATTTTAGCTGCTCCGTTCTAGTTTCTATTCCATCTTGGTTATTCTGCTTCTGGTAGTGGTTGTAGTGTACCAAGGTGTATCTTAGTCCTGGTCACGTGAATCATGCGCTAACCTAAGACGGTTATCTCCAACATGCTCCCATGTAAGTAGTGCTTACTGAACTAGACCAATCCTATGGACAACACCAGAGCGTCCTTGTACCAAGTAGCTCTCACCACTTTGTGAGTCCAAACTCCGGATTCACCGCAATGGCCATGACTTGTATTTGCTGCATGATTTTCGGTCATTTCCTTGCTAGCATAACTCTTTGTAGCTTCTGTGCTCATTCGTCAACATGTTATTTGGCTCGTCGTCTTCGGTTACTAGCTACCGTTTTGCATCGTTTTATCTGCCCATACCACGCATACTGCGTCTGATCTTGAGATACGAAAAGAACAAATCTATGTATAAAAGTGCTGCTGCTGCTGCAGTTAAGAACAACAATAGCGTGATGAGGGTTTCATGTGCAGCGGACTGAGAAACTCTAAGCAACAATCAAGAAACATACTTATCCAGAGTCATGCAGTGCAGCTTGAAAAAGCCACCGGCTGCATTGGACGATCTTACTACGTATGCCGAACTTCACGTCATCGGCGACTCCGATGTAACAAAGTACATGCAAACATCCGTCTGCCCACAAACTTTCGGCCAGTTATGCACTTATGTAAGAATGCATGTCGCAAGTTACTTGCGACACTTTGGCTGACTAAATGTTTGCGATAACTATATGTGAACCCTACCGTTGGGTAAGCTGCGTCTGTTTTCCCATCCCCACAGCATCAGCAAGGTGAGACTATAAAAAGGAGGAGGATTCTCGCTAACGACCTCATCAAAAGGCCAAACACTTCTCCATCTACTACATATCATTCATCTCATCTGACAATGCGTTTCTCTGCTCTTGTCACGCCCATCCTAGTCGGACTTGCCCTGGCCGCACCCACTCCTAGAGCGGGAGGTAATACACTTGCAGTCTCTTATATACTGAAAACATCTGGAAATAACTAACAAACTCTTTTCAGACCTTGAGCGCTTCGATGTTCCTTCGGGAACCCTCCAAGCGCGGCGAGTTGATGCTTTGACGACTGTATCTGAAAAACGAGGCCTTCAGTTTACCGATGATGATATCAACAAGCGAGCTCCCCGTGAGGAAGATAAACGAGGCCTTGAGTTTGCCGATGATGATATCGACAAGCGAGCTCCCCGTGAGGAAGATAAACGAGGC